GAATATAATCCACGTCTGCAAAATCTACCGGAACGCATCTGTTCCGTACGCGGTTTATTAGACCGCGTGGGGCGAGATCTTGACCGAACTTAAATCCGATCGGGATCCGCGAAATGAAGTTGTTCTAATTATCGATCACGCGAGTGAATAAAACTAACGAGTATCCGTCTTGGATCGCGGACTAGCGCAAGAAGTTAGCTTACTAGTCTAGAGAGGCTGTCAAAGTATGACGAGCCTAGCCGTGAAATAGCCGAAAAAGCCGTGAATAGCCGAAATAGCCGAAATGAAGCCGTGAAGGAGCGTCCCGATGACGTCCTGAGTTAACCGAAGCCTGAGTTGAACTGATCTTTTTGGTTGTTAACCAAGACGCTTCCCCTGCGTCTTGCCTTCGGGTGGGGAGCAACATTGTCACCGAGTGAGTTTCCGATCGCAGGGTAGTTCGCAGAAGTGCGCCCATAAATTCCCTAAAGAGGGTTGCTTAAAACTCCGTAGAATTTTTCAAGCACGTCTCCGTCACCAAACAATAAACCAGTAAAGAGGCCCTCGCTGAGTTTAACCCTTCTCGAGGACTCTCTCCGATTTACGTCGGTCATTGGAGATAACTTATGGCCGCCCTTACCCAAAAGACAGCCAAGTTCGGAAAACCCTCGAGCGACATGTGCGGTCCAGGCGGACGGACTTTCTCCGCGGAGCGTATCCTAAACATTCCGCCCGCCTCGTCATTACGACGAATTAATAACCCTGAGAGAATTATGCCTTATCCTAGCCTAATCCTAATCCTTAGCCTTAGTGTCCTTAGTTTCAGTGTCCTTAGCCTTAGTGTCCTTAGTCTTATTGTCTTTAGCCTTATTGTCCTAATGCACCGCCCGCCATGCAGTGTCCTCAAGCTCACGCCCTTGTCGTTATCCTCCGGTAGGAGGCACAGTGTCACTACCGGTCGTGTGAGCTGAGTCCCGTGTGCGTACGGTCACCACCCGCACTTCAGCGTCGGGACCTGGGTGGGTCTCGACGACCCGGACCAACGGCCACTTGGTCGGAGGCCGGCGCTCGTCCCCGGGCAGCGCCACATCGTCGACCTGGACTGGGGTGGATGTCGTCCTTCACCTGCTCCTCCTGTGGAGGCCCCGCATAGTCCACCCCTGGGCGCTGGAACGGGCGAGCTGGTCGCACCCTCGCTTGTGGAAGCGACCCCATGAGCGGCGTCGTGGGAGCCGCTCGCTGCTTCAGGCAGGCGGCATCTCGGTGTATGCGCCTCCGCACCTCGGTCCGCCCCCCCTGGATCCAGAAAGTCCGCCGCAGGTAGCCCAGTGTCCTCCGTGTCCCTCTGTGCAGCACAACCCGGTGCGTTTGGCCGATGACGAGGGTTGTAGAATGTTACCTTCCGGGGAGGGGGGTCGGGTGCCTCTCGCGGTCCGCGAGAAGTGCGTGCTGCAGGCGGTCTCCATCTCGTAATCTCCCTTGATTTTCTAAAAATTGGACAGTGTTTTAATATTGTACCCTTGGCTGATACTCCCTTTGTCCCCTGGGGTTGTTGCCGTCGGTCGACGGCCCCTTCCACTGTGTCAGCTCCCGAGAGGACGTCATCCAGGTAAAGATCCTCCCGGTCGATTTTCGATCCCAGCGGGTATCGATCCCCTTTGTCCTGGGCTAATTGCCGCAAGGTCCGAATGGCCAGGTAGGGCGCACAAGCGGTACCGTAAGTAACGGTCCGCAAGTGATACGCCGCTACCTGAGTGGCGCCCTCCGCCCGCCATAGCACCCGCTGGAGTTCACAATCCTCCGGGTGCGTCCAGAATTGCCGGAACATCCTTTCGATGTCGGCCCCGAAGACGACTGGGTGTCGTCGCCAACGTGGTAAGAAGTCCCTTAGTTCGGCCTGTAGTTTGGGCCCCGCATGCCATAAGTCGTTGAGCGACTTCCCATTCCGTGCTGCATGCGAGGCATTGAACACGACCCTCAGTTTGGTGGTCGTGCTCTGATCCTTTATGACCGCGGGGTGCGGCAGGTAGTATCCTCGACTGCCACCCGCCGTCGGTCCCATTTGCCCTAGCTGGAGGTGCTCTTCCCTGAATCGGCGGCATGACTCTGCCATCCCGGGATTGGTAATGAGGCACCGCTCATTACGCTCCAATGGCCGCATCGCGCCGTATCGCGAAGGGCCCAGATCCTTCGTCGCGGGGATCTTGAACGGTAGCCGGACCGCGTACCGTCCACCCGCATCCCTCCTCACCGTGCGAGCGTCGTGCTCCTCGCAGACGGTCTCCTCAGCGGTGAGGCTGTGCTGCCGGGTGGGAGTCTCCTCTAATTCCCAGAACCGCGGCAGTGCCTTGTGTGATCCTTCCTGTGAGGTGCACTGGAAGGATCGAGCCGTCATTGATCCTGTTGTCTCGTGCGTCGTCCCGCTGGTCGGTCCTGACAGCACCCATCCTAGAGTGGTTCGTTGCGCGAGCGGGGCGCCCGCGCAACCCTTCCGCAAGCCTTCCAGGAGGATGTCCCCGCAGACATCGGCTCCTAGTAATAGATCGACCTTCGATTGCGCCGCGTAATCCGGGTCGGCCAGGGTGAGTCCCATTAAATGCCGCCAGTTCCCGATGGCCACCTGCTACGTCGGGAGGTGCGCCGTTAGCTGGTGTAAGACCAGAGCTCGCAGTTTGAGCGTGAACCCCGGGTCTACCTGCGACCGGATTCGGAGGTTCGTCGACCCTTTTACGGCGCATCCCTCATTACCCCCCACGCCGACGATGGAGATACAGGTGGCCTTCCGCGGTAACTGCAAGTGCTGAGCTACCGATTCGGAAATCATCGAGACTTCCGATCCCTGATCGATTAAGGCCTTTACGCGCATTTGCCGCCCCGAAGCCGCCTCCACGGTCACGATGGCCGTGGCTAGCAAGACCGGTCGCGCCCGCACCGTATTGTCCTTAACCGCGCAGCGCGTTACCTGGCTGACACTCGCGACCGTCTGCTCGGTACCTGAGTCCTCCGTGTTGTTCCTCACGGCCGGTTGGCCGTCGGTCCGAAGCGCCGGGTCCCTTCCCTCGTGCAAAAGGGTATGATGTACCCCGTTGCAGGTGCGGCAGCGTACCTGCGATGGGCACGCGCGCACTGGATGACTCGCGCTTAGACAATTGTAGCACAACCGATTTTGTGCCACCGTATCGCGTCGTTGGCCTACGGGAAGGTTCTGGAACGGCGGACATGTAAATAGCGCGTGCCCGCCCGAACATAAAAGGCACTTCGTGTCCCTTGCCACTGCCGCGTGAGCGCGGACCCCCGGTGGGTCGCGCGCCTTCCAATTTCCCGTGATCGGACCCCCGGTACGCGGTTTGTTACCTGCGTCCCGACCCCGCGTGACCGACTCCCTCGCCCGGATGCGAGCCTCGAGGAAGCCCTGCATAGCCTTAAAAGTTGGTACCTCCGTACTGCTCGAGTGTGAGTCGGCCCAATCCGCCATCGCCGCTTCATCCAGCCGCTGTTCCATCTGGTGAACCAACATGGCATCCCAGTGGGTTACTGGCTGCCTCAGGTTGGCGAGCGCGTCCACTGCGGAGGTGAATGTGTTCGAGATCCTCTTCAACTCCGCCGGGGTGTCCGATGCCATCCTTTTGACGCTTGTGATCGTGTAGAGGTTGGCCGCCACGAGTTCCTTCTTATTTTCGTAGCGCGTGACCAACCGATCCCAAGCCGTCTCGTCGTTAGCTGCCGTGATTTCCAGGTTCACTAGCAGCTCCTTAGCCTCCCCTTCGAGGCTGACCATTAGGTGGTGGAGCTTCTGGACCTCGCTCAACCCAGTGTGTTCACGCACTAGGGACGTGAACATGTCCCTGAAATGCACCCATTTGAGGTAGTCCCCGGAGAAGTGTGGGACATCGATGCGAGTTAGGCGCAGCGATGCCGGTGCCATGCTCGGGGTAGGCGTAGGAGCCGTCACCGAGCCNTGGCCACCCTTACCCAAAAGACAGCCAAATTCGGAAAACCCTCGAGCGACATGTGCGGTCCAGGCGGACGGACTTTCTCCGCGGAGCGTATCCTAAACAGCATCAAAAGAAAATCTTACTTGATTTCAGTGGTCTCTGTACACGTGAACGGCGCTTATAATAAACGCGGGATCTTCTTCAATGTTGGTGATCCCTTCTGGTGGGTAGAGAGAGCGTCCCCAGTCTTCGGCGTCTTCTTCGCCACTGGTTCGAAGGGACTTTTGGAATCCTCGTCCCGAGGATGATACGGGAAGGGAGCCTAATCGGAATCGAGAATTTTATTTTTTGCCAAGACAATTTTCTAGTGTTTTTCACATAAAAAAATTGATTTTTTTGGGCCGTTTTTTTTTTTCAAAAAATCTGTGCGTTAAGGGGTTAACCCCTTGCCCGACGACAACGTGTGAGATTCGTGGTCAGGTATTCGGGCCAAAACTGATTATCACGTGTTAGTACCATCCTTATGGGATGACACCGATCCGCGAACTAGCTGTGAAGTAGAATTTAATAAAGATAAAATTTCACCTTCCCGTAAAATAAATAAGGTAAGTGAAGGGTAAAGTCAATGAAGGCGCCACGAGTGTTCGTCCCTTACCATGAAAAGCGAGCAGTGTCGGTAAGCGTTGGCAAGCCACCACCGTTCACATCCGCATGGTATTACCATCACGAGTTCGTGAGCCGCCAACGGCTCCTGGTAGATGTCACCGCCATCCTGAGTGCGCGAGCCCCTACCAGAAATTTGTTGCGCCGCCCTCGGGGCAAAAAACGGTGAAAGCTGACGTATGAAACCAGAGGGCAGCACAGGATGCGATCGCGCAACCCTGGCCGTAAGCAATCTCCCAACTCATCTCTGGTTGCGCCGTTACTGAGGGGTAATAGGTGGCAAGTGCGTTAACCGTCCGCATTCTCCACCGAAGGGCAGCACAGGTCGTGATCGCGCGATCCTGCCCGTGAGCAATCTCCCAACTCATCTCTGATGTCAGTGTCCGCCCTCTGGTGGAGACTTAGTACATGGTTAGGAACAATTAACATACCTTGAGTCTGTCGGGTAGTGTTTGCGATTTACAATTATTTAGGCAGCTTTGTCTTACTATTTATGTTTGCTTGTTTTTGACTGGTCTAACCGTCAATCAGTTTATAATCAATGTCTGTTGGTGAAGAGAGAAGTCACAAGAATTGACAAGTGCAGGAAATGCGAGATGCAGTTGGAGAATATGTCCCTGGTTAGGTGTTGGATGTCAGGGAGAAATGGAGTATGAAAAAGGCGGTTATACCGTAATGTAAGTTTTCTTATCCTAGCACTGACTATTTTTCAGGCGATTTACTCAATTTTTAATATTTTGGAAAGCACCTACCTGAGCATGTAAATCTCTTTTATTTCAAATTGCGACTTTTTCATTCATGATTGTTTATTGTTGATATTTTAAGAGGGGATGTATTTAGTAAAATGGTTCTTAAACTTGAATTATCATTACAGGCGTTTAGTTAACTTAAGTACTTCTGTTATAGTTTGATTGGTAGCTGGTCGTAATGTAATATCAAATGTATAAACGTGTTATTATAATAAGGATGATACATGCAGTAATTATAATAAGTGTAAGATAACACTGTGAACCGTCTTGAAATAATTTGAACATGTTTAACCAAGTGTACACTGGTAATTTTATAGTGGAATTAAATAATTTTGCTGCCACAGAAGTTTATTCTATTTTACATTATTGTCATCGTTATAAGATCAAATAAATATTGAGAAATATAGAAGTCTTGAAAATTCTTCAGTTCAATTTCTTCAATTTTAACATTCTATTAACAGTTATAAATGAAGAGCTTCAAATTTTATATTTAATTGTTCCTATAAAATGTGATTTTCCTAACAACATATAAAAATTCACTAAGTATAGGATTGTCGTTTCGATTACTCTAGATAACTGGATCCCCCTAAAAAACACCTCCATGTAAAAGAACCTTGTCAAGTACAAGCTCATCTTATATTTTAAGTTATGTTTTTAGATTAAAAAATCATTGAAATCATGTTACAAAGCCAAGTGCATAAGTCACTAAGTGTCTGCTTTTAATACAACGTGGCATTACCATGCTATTTTAATTTTTTCATTTACAGATTTTAACATCGTAGCTATGGTGTCTCTGTTTTATTTTACTTCTACTGATGTAGTTTTATGCACGATGCATTGTCATTTAATAAACATTATGTGATTCCTTATCGAGTGCTACTTGGTGGGACCAGGTTTTATTAAAACAAATTCTTTTATAAGTATAATATTTAACTCTAAACCGTCTTTGTTAAAAGTATAGCATTCTCGCAACCCTTTAAGCTGCATTAACAGAACTAAATCACTGCAAATTGCAAATATAGAAGCATGTAAATTGTTAAATGGAAGCACAACTTAAAATGTATGTTTGGATACAAACACGTATTTAATTTTAAAATGTCAGTCTGCTGAATGTTAATGTTACGAAATTTTGAGCATCGACCTGTCAGGTAATACTCAACAAGCACTTAACGGTTCATTATTAAATGACAATGCATTATACATACATTTAAATGAGAAGTAAAATAAATAAAGTAGCAATAGTGTTAGAACCATAAATAAAACAATTGAAATAACATGGTATTGCCAGTTTGTATGAGAAGCAGACATTTAGTGACTTATACACTTGGCTTTATAATATGATTTCAATGGTTTTAGAATCTAGAAACCTATTAGGATATGAAGAAGAGCTTGTACTCGGCTAAGTCCTTTTGCACAAAGTCTGTTGTTTTTGGAGGGGATTCAATTATCTGAAGTAATCGAAAAGATAATCCTGCATTTGGCAAGACGGTTTTACATGTGTTTTTTGTGGATGATTTCATATGTTTTTCTTATTCAATAAAATAGCAAAATAATATTAAGACAGTGCATATATTGACACAGGTCATACTTTTCCTACAAACAATTTCATTAACTGTTATGATACATGTTGTTTATGTGTTAGTTGATTATCAGACGTCCAGGATTAAAATAGTGATAAATTCGTGATTGCTTTCGATGCTGCGTCAGGAATTAAAATATTCGTATGCTGAAATTAGGGTGAGGATATTATGTATCATATTTTGTTAATCAATTATCACATGACGGAATAAAGGATAAAATTTAAGCAGTCACTTTTCAGGGGAAATAATTCTACGGAATTATTATAAAATGTTGGATGTAATGATTAAATGCACAAGTTGTAAGTATTTAAGTATAACTTGGATCGGAAATGAATGATGGTAACTTGATGTCAATCATTGTTAACTGTGTTGTTTTAGTGAACTTATGTTTTTTTTAATATTGAATATTTGTCAATATCTTCGGATTTGAACTCAAAGCTTTTTGAAATTATATGCGGAACAGCACATAGTTGTAGGGCTTCTGATAGAAGTTTAATCATTCCTAATGTTCACTGATTTAGTGGAATGAAATGGAAATGAAATTAAAGAGATTTGTGTCTTATAAGTGAGTATGCTTTGAATTTTTTTATAACAAAAACGGAACTGTAATATGTATAAGGAGGTAGGGAAATAAAGGTCGTTCCCTTTTATGCCAGGATAGAGCGGTCAAAGAATGGGGATATTCGGATGCCGAAGGAAAATGAATCCACTACTAATCACTTTGTGTAAAGATCAATTATCGATCATTAGGCTGAGTCATCCATTTATTACGTTTGTACAATATCAAAGTATAGAGCAGAGTGGTTTTGTAAGTCCCGTATCATACTATATTTGGGACCAGGAGCGTAGAGTTCTTACTCTGCACGTCGGCTACCCTGACAACTGGACCATCCTGGTCCAATATTCAATTTTCAACATGATATGAGATGGCATCTGTGTAGGTTATTTCTTATCATCACATTCTGGTGATAACGATTCTTGAGCCCACATTTTCATTTGGACAGGGCCTACAATACCTCAAAATGATCACTAACCCAGTGAACATTGTTATGTAACTGTTGGGTAAATCTTAAGTTTTTGAAACTAACATGTTTTGTAGCATACAAGTTCGTTAAGGTAACATGTTATGTAACATGTTATATTAATGTTATAATTTCAGTTACCTTAAAATAATATTAATTTTTCATACATTTAATAAAAAAATCACGCAATTTTATCCAAAATTATATAATTTTTTATTATTTTTTGGTACATGACAATAGTTAGATATTAAATGACAAATCAGACTTTCAATGAAATTATGTAACGATAAACTATCTAATTTTACTTAAAGACTATTATGATTTCATTTGACTAACAAACAATTACTGATAATGTATATGCGCGTACGAATTAAAGTCACATTTTTTCATATGAGTAGTAAACAAAATATGACATATATTAATCTTATGACATTTGACGATGAAGTATGACAAAGACAATGACGATGATGTAATAAAATAGATGACAGCACCAATGTAGTTCCGTTTTGTTACAAATATGTGCTGCATATACACAGTAATATCAGGACGGTAACATAATGTAACATGAGAGTAACAAAGTTATGCTATATTTATATACATATGATAGTAACAAATGTTATGTAACCTGTTAGCTCTATGTTACATAACTGTTAAGTTACTGCATTGTAACAAATGTCATGTAACTAGTTAGCTCTATGTTACGTAACTGTTAGGTTATGACCTTATGACAAACGTTGTGTTATTTGTTAGTTTTAAGTTTCATAACCGTTAGGTTTGATGTTCAGTGGGAAGTGAGTTGAAACTCCTCAACATCTGCAATCTCTTATTGATCATAATTTAAAATAGTTTTAACTTCATAAGGCCCCTTGTATATAGGAATTAATTTCTTATTGACATCAGGTGTGTCATTATTCCACACCATCACTAAATCACTAATAGTATACATATGTGCCGCTTTTCGTGTCCGATTATAGTATCTCTTGTTGCTTGTTTGAGTTTTGCAAATATTCACAGCTGCTAAGTCGCGTAGCTTTCCGAGATCCCAATCATTTCCCGAACTTTGATCTAGCGCTTAACTTCGATGGACCGTTAATTTGACCATTTTGATAAATACCAAAAAGAAGACGACTAGGAGCATCACCAGTCGAACGACATATTGGATTATTTAACAGGCATTCCACCAGTTATAACGTTTTATCTCATTTTTTCGGATCAGTAGTTACCTCAGCGATCATTCCAATGATCATTCCAATGATCGCTGAGGTAACTACTGATCCGAAAAAATGAGATAAAACGTTATAACTGGTGGAATGTCTGTTAAATAATCCAATATGTCGTTCGACTGGTGATGCTCATGACTGGTGATGATCATTGGAATGATCGCTGAGGTAACTACTGATCCGAACTCTATTAAAACGTTCTATCTGGCTGTTTGTTCATGGCGTTCCAGATGCAATTAGTTCGATCAAATCCTTGCCTGTCCGCGAACGTCTTAAACTTTTTACATGTAGTGTTACGAGGCTACCCCATTTTCCTCAAAATAAAGGGGCGCGCATTCTATTAAGTATGAATTAGTTACCGGAAGATAAATATCGAATCCAAAACAACGATAATATCATTTGATTAAACCGGAAAAATAATAACCATTGGAACAATCATCGAGGAATGTTTTGGCGTATTCGCACGCCTTCCGCACCGAACTGCACTCTGGACCAAAACACGGGAACTACTCTTCCGTGAACATAGTGACTTCCTGAGCACGTCCGATCAAGCTTCTAACGACAAAATCCAAAAACAAGGAAATTGGACCCTGTCCTCACGGGCATCTCAAGGATAAGATCTCGTATAAAAGCGGTACCGAAAAGGAGCAGTGAACAGTGTGTAACACAGAGAATGTAAAGCAGCAGTCTAAGGAGAGCAGTCTCAGGAGCTAGGTTGGGGCTTTCTGAAAAGCTGATCGTACTGTAGGAACAGTTGTGCGTTTCGGTACTCCGACATTCATCAGCCAACAGTGAGAAGAACGACGGCGCTACGAATTCCGGACCAGGGGGAGAATCTTAGCAAGCTCCAACTCTGGGGCACGCCCCAGTTTGAAGGCGTTCACGTGCAGTTCATCGCAAACAGCAGGACGTAGGAGAGACGTCACCGGACGTAAAGGCCTCTGCGAAGCCAAGGTATAGATATCCTCTTCGAAGAGTTCCACTCTTTTACTCTTTCATCACTCTATTTCGAACCCTATTCCAAAATTACTAATCCGCAACAGAATGCGGTATTCACCTTCCGGTAACAACTACCAAAATTCTAACTCCTCAAGTATAAAGCGCAA